CAACTTCGTTTTCGTTCTCTTCAGTCCATTTTCCTCTTCTCTCCTTCTCCTCCTCCTCTTCCTCCCCTCCCCAATCTATTTTCATCCTCTCTCTTCTCTCCTTCTCCTCCTCCTCTTCCCCCCATCTCCGATCCCTTTTTTCTCCTCTCTCTTCCCTTTCCTTCTCCTCCTCTTCCTCCATCTCTATTCCATTTCTCTTCTCTCTTCTCCTCCTCCTCCCCCCTCTCTCCAATCTATTTCTCCCTCCTCTCTTCCCTCTCCTCCTCCTCCTCCTCCCTCCCATCCATTTTACTCCCTCTCTCTTCTCCTCCTCTTCCCCCTCTCTATCTATTATCCCCTTCTCTCTTCCCCTCCTCTCTTCTCTCTCCTCCCTCCTCCTCCTCCTCCTCCTCTCTTCCCCTCCTCCTCCTACCTCCTCCTTCTCTCCTCCTCCTCCCCTCCCTTCCTCCTCCTCCTCCTTCTCCTCCTCCTCCTCGGCCATTTGTCTCCCAAAGACAGTTACGACTCTTAAGCTCCAGTTATCTCTTCTTCCTTCTTTTAATCAATTTATGTATCAAATTCCTTTTTCCTTCTTCTTTCTTTATCATTCTGAACATCGTCTAATTTTTATTATATCAAATTCCTTTTTTTTCCTTCTTCTTTCTTTATCATTCTGAACATCGTCTAATTTTTATTATATCAAATTCCTTTTTTTTCTTTCTTCTTTCTTTATCATTCTGAACATCATCGTCTATCATATTTATTTTATATCAAATTCCTTTTTTTCCTTCTTCTTTTCTTTATCATTCTGAACATCACGTCCACTATTTATTAAGAAATTTAATCCTTGCAAATTGAGTTATCAAATGAATCGTGTTTATATTATGCATAAATAAATAAATAAATAAATAAATAAATAAAATGTCATATTTATATTAATAATAAATAAATAAATAAATAAATAAATTAAATGTCATATTTATATTAATAATAAATAAATAAATAAATAAATAAATAAATAAAAAAATGTCATATTTATATTAATAATAAATAAATAAATAAATAAATTAAATGTCATATTTATATTAATAATAATAATGAAAAAAATAAAAAATAAAAATAAAATGTCATATTTATATTAATAATAAATAAATAAATAAATATCTGTTCTCTCGGAGCGTCTCTCTTTGTCTCGGTGGAAAGAACACGTGAGATCAGCTGTTCTTAAGAATGTTGATTCTTGCTGGTTCTTACTTCCGTTGAGAATGAAGGCGTGCGGGGATGAAAGAAGAAGGAGGAGGAGGAGGAGAAGAAGGAGGAAGGAGAGAGAAGAAAAAAGAAAAGGAAGAAAAATGAGATGGGAGAAGAGGATGAGGAGGAAAGAAGAGGAAGAAGAAGAAAAAGAAGAAATGAGGAGGAAGAAGATGAAGAAGAAGAAAAAGAAGAAGAAGAGGAGGAGGAGGAAGAGGAAGAAGAAGAGGAGGAGGAAGAGGAAGAGGAAGAGGAAGAAGAAGAAGAAGAGGAGGAAGAGGAAGAAGAGAGAAAAAGATGAAGAAGAGGAGGAGGAAGAAAAAGAAGAAGAAGAAGAAAGAAGAGAGAGGAGGGAAAAGAAGAAAAAAAGAAGAAGAAGAAGAGGAAAAAAGAAGAAAAGAAGAAGAATATCATTTATATCCTTTATCCAATTCATCCCTACATCTCCCTTTCACCCGTTCGAACTTGGCGCCAAGACCCGGCCGCGCCTGCCGTTCCGAACCCGAGGAGGAGTCGACGGACCCAAGACGGCGACAGACGAGCTCGATCTGTCATGAGGAATCGCCGAAGCAATTGGCCAATCGGGGAGGAGGCGGATTGGGGTGGACCTCCCCCCTCCACCCCCTTCTTTCTGTTTCTCTCTAGGTTTCTTTTCTTCTTCTTCTCTCTCTTTTTCTTCTCTTCATTCTCTTTTTGTCCCTCTTCCTCTTCTCTCTCTTCTCTCATCCCTCTGCTTCTTCTCTTATCTTCTCTCTCCTCTTCTCTTCATCCTCACCTTCCTCCCTCCCTCTTCTCCCTCTTCTCCTTCTTCCCATTCCTCCATTCTCCCATCTCTCCCTCTCCCTCTTCCCTCCTTCCCCTCCTCCCCTCCTCCCCTTATCCCCTCACCTTCCCCTCCTCCCTCTCCTCCCCTCCCCTTATCCCCTCCTCCCCTCTTCTCTCACCTAACTCCTTCCACCCCTCCCCTCCCCTTACCCCCCCTCCTCTACTCCTTCCACTCCCCCCCCCTCCCCCCCAAACGAGTCTGGCCGGAGATCCCGACGAACAGGTGTCGGATCGAGGCGTCTCGGAAGAAGGATCAGGAGAAGACGAGAAGGATCTCCTGAGGACTTCTTGGGGAGGGAGGAGGGGAGGAAGGAAGGAGGGGAGGGATGGAAGGGAGGGAGGGATGGTGGAGGGTGGGGGAAAGAGAAGGAGGGAGGAAGGAAGGAGAGGGAGGGAAGGTGGGGGGAAGGTGGAGGGAGGAAGGAGGGAAGGGGAGGAAGGAGGGGGAAAAGGAGAGGAGGGAGGGAGGGAAAGGAGGGAAGGAGGGAGAGTAGGAAGGTGGTTAGGAAGGAGAGGAGGAGGGAGGGAGGAAGGAAGGAGAGAAGGAGGGAGAGTAGGAGGTGGGAAGGAGAGAAGGAAGAGGGGAGGGAGAAAGAGAGGAGGGAGAGGAGGGAAAGAGAGTTGCGAAGGAAGGAGGGAGGAGGAGGAAGGAGGAGGGAGGGAAGTTGCGGATGACAGGCGAAGGAAGAGCGAGTGAGTGAGGGAGAGAAAGAAGGAAGAAAGGAAGGGAGGAGAGTGGCGGATGGAAAGAGAAGAAAGGAAGAAAGAGAAGATAGGAGAGAGAGGGCGTAGAAAGGCCTAAAAAGACTCCTTGAAGATGGAGAAAGAGGAAGAAGGCTGTGTCTCCTTGAGGGAAGGATGCTCGGCCACGGGAGATGGAGGAAGAGAAGGAAGAAAGAGTAAAAAGAAAAGAAAAAACAACAGCGAAGAACGAACGACCTTCTAGGACGCGTCGGAGGAAAGGAAGAAGGAAGAGGGAGGAAAAAGGAAACCTATTCGACCAAGCAGAAGAAGGAGGAGGAGGAGGAGGAGGAAGAGGAAGAGGAAGCGATCGACAACACTTCTTTGGCGAAGCAGAAGGAGGAGAGAAAGGAAGAAGAAGGAGGACGCGGTAAGAACTCTTGGGCGAAAGAGGAAGAGGAGGAAAAGGAAGAAGAAGAGAACACCCGACAAAACCTCTTTAGCGAAGTAGAAGGAGGAGGAAATGTAAGAAGATGAATAGAAAACGACAACACCTTTTTGGCGAGGCAGAAGGAGGAGGAAAAGGAAGAAAGAGGACGCGATACGACCTCCAGGACGACGGAGAAGAAGGACCCGATACGAAGAAGAAAAACACAAGAAATGAAGAATAATAATAAAATATAGTAAATAAGATAATAAATAAAATAATGAGAAGAGAAGAAGAAGAAGAGAAGAAGAAGAAGAAGAAGAAGAAGAAGAAGAGAAGAAGAAACAGAAGAAGAAGAAGAAGAAGAAGAAAGAAGAAAAGAAGAAGACGAAGAAGAAAAGAAGACGAAGAAGAAGAAGAAGAAGAAGCAGAAGAAGACGAAGAAGAAGAATCTCTGACTAAGACCAGTAGGAATTCCCAATGCCTTCAGTGGGCGGATGGCGTGACCTGCTCCCATCTGACGCCCCCCCCCCTCTCCCTCTCTCCTTCATTCTCCTTCCTCTTCCCCTCCCTCTCTCCCAAACTCCCTCCCTACTTCCCTCTCCGCCCCTTTTTTCTCTCTTCCTCCTTCCCTCCCTCTCTCCTTCGTTCTCCCTCTTACTCTCTTCCTCCCTCTCTCCCACCTTAACTTCATCCCCTCCTTCCTTCTCCTCACCTCCTCCCTTCCTTCCTACCTCCTCTCCTTCCGAATCCCTCTCCTCTTTCCTTCTCTCACCCTCTTTCTCTCTTTCCCCTCCCTCCTCTCCCACCCTCTCTTCTTCCTTCTCTCCCTCCCTCCCTTCCTTCCTCTCTCCCCTCTCCATTCTTCTCCTCCCTCCCTCCCTCCCCCCTCCCCCCCACTTCGGCCGCCGCACCTTCGGGAAAAACGTCAAGTTGTTTCCGAAAAATTATTCGTGTTTTTTTTATCTTTTTTATTTATTTTTTCTTTGTTTTCCTTTTCTTTATCTGCCTTTTGTTTTGTTTTTCCTTCAGGTCGGTGAGGGAAAGGGGAAGAAAGAGGGAATTAAGAAATGGAAGAAGATGAAAAACGTGAATAAATGAAGGGAAGGATGAAAGAGATGCAAGAGTACGAAGGAAGGAAAGAAAGGAAGAATGAAAAGAGACAAAACAACAAATGAATGAATAAAGATGAAAAATATAATAGACACAAAACAACGGACGAAGGAATCAGAGATGGAAAGAAAGAAAGAAAGGAAGAAAGAAACTAAGAAACCGAACGATGGAAAGAAAAGAAAAATGAAAGAAGACAAAAACAAAACAAAACAAAAAAATAGAGAGAGAAACACAACTCAAAGAAAGAAAGAAGGAAAGAGAGAGAAAAAAAATAGATAAAAAAAAGAAATAACCGATAACCATCCTCTCTATCGTCACCATACACCTTCCCCCTTCCCTCTCTCCCCCCCCCCACCACCACCACCCCCATTCATCCTCCCCCTCCACCCCTCCCCTTCCTCCCCTATTCGCCCTCTCCCCTTCCCTCCCCCACCCCTCCCCTCTCCCCCACCGCCCCTCCCCTCTTCCTCCCCCACCTCCCCCTCCCCTCATCGCCTCCTCCCTTTCCCCCTTACATCCTCCCCCTCCACCCCCCCCTCCACCCCTCCCCTCTTTCCTCCCCTCCCCAACGCCCTCCCTCCCGTTTTCCCTCCCCTCCCCTATTCGCCCCTCCACCTCCCCTCTCTTTCCTCCCCCCCCCCCAAACCGACCGAAACATTACGCAACGACCGCCATTTCTCTCTCCCGCAATGACGCCGAACACGTCGCTCCTTTTTTTCGCTCGTCATTTTCGGGTCCTTCGTGTTGTCGGGTCGTCTCGGGGTCGCCATTTTCGGGTCTCCGCTGTCGGTCGGCGGGTGTCGGGTCTCCGCTGTCGGTCGGCGGGTGTCGGGTCTCCGCTGTCGGTCGGCAGGTCGGGTGTCGGGTCTCGGGTCCCGCTGTCGGGTCGCATTTGGGTCTCCGCTGTCGGGTCTCCGGCTCGGCGGGTGGCGTCCTCCGCTGTCGGGTTGGCGGTGTCGTCCGCTGTCGGGTCGCCATTTTCGGGTCTCCGCTGTCGGGTCGCCATTTTGCGGGTCTCCGCTGTCGGGTCTCCGCTGTCGGGGTCGGCGGGTGTCGGGCCCTGACCGCTGTCGGGTGCGGGTGTCGGGTCTCCGCTGTCGGTCTCCGCTGTCGGTCGGCGGGTCGGCTGTCGGTCGCGGTGTCGGTCTCCGCTGTCGGGTCGGCGGGTGTCGGTCTCCGCTGTCGGGTCGCCAATTTCGGGTCTCCGCTGTCGGGTCGCCATTTTCGGGTCTCGCTGTCGGGTCTCCGCTGTCGGGTCGGCGGGTGTCGGGCCTCCGCTGTCGGGTTGGCGGTGTCGGGTCTCCGCTGTCCGGTCTCCGCTGTCGGTCTCCGGTGTCGGGTCTCCGCTGTCGGGTCCGCTGTCGGTCGGCGGGTGTCGGGTCTCCGCTGTCGGGTCTCCGCTGTCGGGTCTCCGCTGTCGGGTCTCCGCTGTCGGTCGGCTGTCGGTCTCCGCTGTCGGGTCTCCGCCGCGGGTCGGCGGTGTCGGGTCTCCGCTGTCGGTCTCCGCTGTCCGGCGGCGGGTGTCGGGTCTCCGCTGTTCGGGTCTCCGCTGTCGGGTCTCCGCTGTCGGGTCTGTCCTCCGCTGTCGGTCTCCCGCTGTCGGTCTCCGCTGTCGGGTCGGTCTCCGCTGTCGGGTCGGTCGGGTCGGTCGGGTCGGCGGCGGTGTCGGTCGGCGCAGAGATAGAGGTCTGTTTGTTTTGTTTTTGTTTTTTTGGTTTCGTTTCGTTTTCTTTTGAGAGAGAGAGAGAAGAGGGAAGAGGGAAGGGACGGAGGGAAGGAGAACAGGGGGAGAGGGAGAGTGGGAAAGATATATATATAATATATATATATATATATATATATATATATATATATATATATATATATATATATATATATATATATATAAGAGAGAGAGAGAGAGAGAGAGAGAGAGAGAGAGAGAGAGAGAGAAGAGAGAGAGAAGAGAGAGAGAGAGAGAGAGAGAGAGAGAGAGAGAGAGAGTGAGTGAGAGTGAGAGAGGGAGAGAGACAAAGAGAGAGAGAGAAACGAGAGAGCGAGCGAGAGGGAAAGCCAGAGAGAGAGAGAGACAAAGACAAAGACAGAGAAGAGAGAGCGAGAGAGCGAGAGGGAGAAGATAGAGAACGAAAAAGCGAGAGAGCGAGCGAAGAGGGAGAAGACAGACAAGAAAGAGAGAGGAGATAGAGAACGAGAAGAGCGAGAGAGAGAGCGAGAGGGAGAGCGAGAAGAAAGAGATAGAGAACGAAAGAGCGAGAGCGAGAGATAGAGAACGAAAGAGCGAGAGAGCGAGCGAGAGGGAGAGCGAGAGAGAGAGAAAGACAGAGAAATACGAGACAGAAAAGAAAGAGAGGAGAGGAGATTAGAGAACGAAAGAGCGGAGAGGGAGAGCGAGAGAGAGCGGAGAAGACAGACAGACAGAAAGAGAGCGAGAGCGAGGGACAAAGACAAAGACAGAGAGAAAAACAGAGACAAGAAAGAAAGAGAGAGGGAAGAAAAAGAAGAGTAGAGAAGACAAAGAGGACAGGATGAAAATCGAGGTAGACAGACACAGAGAGAAGAAAGAGAGAGCGAGAGGAGCGAGAGGGAGAGCGAGAGAAAAAAACGGAGACAGGACAGACAGAAAGAGAACGAAAGAGAGGAGAGGAGCGAGAGCGAGAGAGAGACGAGAGGCGAGAGAGAGAGCGAGAGGGCGCGAAAACGGCGCGAGTTCCAGTAGCATTGTGGCCGCAGACAGCAATCTCCGTCGTAAAACTGAAGCCGGACAAGTGAGAGTCGCCGGTTCAGATTCTCGGGAGCGATTGGCCATCTCAGCATTTTTATATGTAGTCGGTCTCTCCTCGTTAATTCTAATCCCGCCCCCCCCCACTCCCTCCCTATCCACTCCACTCCCTTCCCTCCTCCTCTTCCTACTCGTACTCCTAACTTGCGTTTCTCTCTTCTCCTTCTCCTATCCTTTCTCTCCTCCTTCTCTCCTACCTCTTTTCTCCTCTCCACCACTTCCGCCGTCCTCCACTCGCTCGGTCCTTCTCCTACCCTACTTCCTTCTCTCCCCGTCCATTCATGCTACTCCTCTTCTCACTCTACTCTTCTCCTGATTTTATCCATTCTTGCTCGAATGTCCTCCATCTCCTACGGCCCCAGTCTCTTCCGCTCCTCCTCCTACTCACCTTTCTCCCTCTTCTGAATCATCCCTTGCTCTCCCCCCCTCCTTCCTCCTTCCTGCTAACTACCCTCTCTCCTCCCTCCTCCTCCCTACTCCCCTCTCTCTCCCTCCTATCTCACTACTCCTGTCTCTCCTCTCCTCCTCCTACTTGATCCTCTCATGGATAAATCCCCGGTGCCTCAACTGTCCCCTGACTATAACTACTTCGCCCGATAATCGTATATCCCTCCTATCATCTGCTCTCCTCCCCATTCGCCTCTGCCTTATACGCCCTTCACACCGGACTCACCCACCGAGCCGGCCCGGATCCATGCGCGACCCTCTCACTATCTGCTGAGCGCGACTCCTCTCGCTTACTGCTGCTCCCTCCTCTCGCTTCCATTCCTCCTTAACTCTAACTCATGCATCCCCGTCATATGCTTAAATCAAGGGTGGCGGGTTTGAGTGATCGTAATCGGACTTGTCCCTCCTCGTCTATTTCTCTCTCGCTCCTCCTCTATTTCTTTTCCCTTTCTTCTTGTCCTCGTCGTTTGCTGCGGTCCTATCTCTGTATCTTCGCTTCCTCGCTTTACCCTCTCCTATCTTCCTCTCTTCTCTAATCTTCACATTCTTCTTTCTCTCCATACCTCTATTTCCCTCGCACCCTCACGAGTCTTTAATCCCTCTCCATTCTTCTTATCTTTGTCCCTCTTCTCTTACTCCCATCTCTTGCGCTAGGCCCCTCCTTTTTAACTCTTTCTCTCCTCCTTGCTTCCCCGACGCCCCTCTTCTCCTCCTCACATCCTCGCTTTCATTCCATTAGACTCTTTCCCTCTCCTTCCCTCCCCCATCTCCCTCTCCCTCCCTCTTTCTCCTCGTTTCTCCTTCCTCCTTCTGTACCTTTCCTTTCCTCTTTCTCCTCTCCCCTTCGCTTCCTACCTTCCCCTCACCTTTCCCTTTTCCTCGTCCCTTCTTCCAACCTCCTCCCGCCCCGCCACTTCCCCCCACTCAATGCCCAATGAAGAAAAGTCTTTGGGCACCTCTACCCTTAACCCTTCTAGATAAAAAAATAAAATATAAAAAATAAAAAATAAAAAAATAAAAAAAATAAAAATAATAGAAAAAAAGTATCTAAAAAAGGGGACGAAGGTGTTAATATTCAAATAATTCTAAGACACAGGGAGAATGGTTCTGTCTGCCGGTTTCAAGAGCCAGGAAGAACCAGGCACCGGTCGTGGCTGGTTCTACCTCTCCGCTAAAGCCTTCCCTCCCTCCTCCCTCTCTCCCGTCGCTCCCTCCCCCTTTCCTGAAGCCAATTTCCCTCACCTCCTTTTCACCCTTCCCTGTCGCTTTCCCTTCTCCTTAGCCCAAACCTCTCTACCTGTCCTCCCCTCCCTCCATCGCTTCCCCCCATTCTCCGCTCCCCTCCCACCCCCTCCATTCCCTAACCACTCACCCATGCCTCCGCTTCCTCCCTCGCTCCCCCTCAATATCTCCCCCCCCACCCTCCCAAGACTCCTGTACCCCCCCTCCTCTTCCCACCCCCTCCACAACCCGCCTTTCATATCCCTCCCTCCCTCGCTCCACGCCCACCCCCTTCATCCTCGCACTGTCCCCCCTGGTTCCATCAACCCCATCCCCACCCCTCCCCTTCATCCTCCACCCTCTCTCCCACCACCCCTGTTTTCCTCAACCCCCCCACCCCACCCCCTTTATCCATCCCTCCCTAACCCACACCACCCTGCCTCCCTCCCTATCTCCCTCCCTCCCTACACTCCCCCCACTGCCCCCCACCCCGCACCTCATCCGCAAGTGATATACATACACTCGAGAGTTAAATAACAGTGTATCCACGCTTCATAAACTTTTATTGTCTTAATCAGATTAAGTTTGACAGTAATATACAATCAAAGTCTGACAAAGAAGCGATCAGTATAAATTACGCACGTGTTTGTGTGTAAGAGAGGGAAGAGGGAGAAAGAAGAGAGGGAGAGAGAGAGAGAGAGAGGAGAGAGGGAGGGAAGGAAGAAGAGAGAGAGGGGAGGGAGTGGAGAGAGAGAGAGAGGAGGGGGAGGGAGGGAGGAGGGAGGGAAAGGGAGGGAGGTGAGAAAGGAAAGAAGAGAGAGGGAAGAGAGAGGAAGAGGGGAGGAGGGAGGGAGGGAAAGGGAGAGGGAGGGAGGAAAGAGGAGGAGAGAGAGAGAAGAGAGAGAGAGAGAGAGAGAGAGAGAGAGAGAGAGAGAGAGAGAGAGAGAGAGAGTGAGGAGAAGAAATTGATAGACAGACAGACAGATAGGTAAATAGACAGATATACATGCATATGAAAAAGCGAATAAATGAATAAATAAGAAAAACAACTGTAAATATTACAACAACAACAAACAAAAAACAACAACAAAAACAACGAATACGAGAATAACAACTAACAAAAACATAACAACTAAGAAAATTAAAACAACAAAAGACTATCACTGACAACAACAAAAATTACAAAACAGACGACAAAAAACAAACAACAACACAACCATAAATAATAACACTAGCAACAAAATACAACAAACAACCACCCACTAACCCAAAAATCCAAAAACAACCCAAATACTAACAAAAATATCAAAAAGAACTGAAAACAAATCAACAAATTACAACAAAAATATAATAAAGAACTGAAACAACAAATACAACAAAAATATCTTAAAGAAACATGAAAACAACAACAAATACAACAACTAACAACAACAAACATGAACACACAAAAACATGGAAAACAAAAAACAACGAAAACAAAACAAAATAAGCAACCAACAAAACAAATACAGACAAAAAACAACAAAAGCCAATAAAACAACAAAACAACAAAAACAACAACACAGAAACAAAACCAACCAAATACACACAACCAAACAACAAATACCAAAACAACAACAACAACAACAACCGCCGCAGAACCAGACGACCATCAAGCCGTTCAATCACGCCTTCATCCGGATCAGCTGAACATCATCGGCAGAAATAAATAAAACAAAAAAGGCAGATGGATTTTAATTAGAATTTTAATAGATGATATTCCCGTTATTAATTAATGGAGGTTGCGAGTCGACTAATAAGTTAATAAAAGGTGGAAGAGAGAATAGGAAAAGTAGAAGAGAGAGAGGAGAGAGGGAGGGGGGGGGAGGGGAGGGAGGGAGGGAGGAGTGGGAGGGAGGGAGGGAGGGAGGGAGGGGGGAGGGAAGGGAGGAGAGGAGGGAGAGAGAGAGCGAGCAGAGAGAGAGAGAGAGAGAGAGAGAGAAGAGAGAGAGAGAGAGAGAGAGAGAAAGGAGAGAGAGAAGAGAGAGAGAGAGAGAGAGAGCGAGAGAAGAGAGAGAAGAGAGAGAGAGAGAGAAGAGAGAGAGAAAAGATGAGGGGGGGGGAGGAGGGAGGGATGGAAGAGAGATTAATCACATTATATTGTGATTAT